ACTACAGGTACTTTAAGAATAGTCTCCTTATGTTTAATAGGATCTCATGATTAAGTCAGACTTAATATTTTGTTAAATAAACTAGCTACTCTAGGATCTTTATTATTTTGGAAAAACAAACATAATAAAGAAATGCCTTTTACTATTAATAAATAATTCGATACAAGTACCAAAAGTATTGGCATTTAGGGCTTACACCAACAACTGACACCAGAGGTTCTCAAGCTAGATTTAAATTATTGAAAACACTTTTTATAAAGACCAATTGTAGTGGGATAAGGATACTGATGGTGATGATATGTAGGTTGAGTACCACTAGCAATGTGCATTGAGGTGTTACCTCTTGTTCCTCGTTGGGATGTCCATTTTTGTGGAAAAAAGTTCAACCTATATCGATGTGGTCTACCTTAAATATTTCATCGACTTGACAATGATTCATGAGTACAATTCGGGGCCACCTGTTAGGTCTACCTGTACTCGAAGTTGGGCGAGGGTTGTATTTGGAAGACAAATCAGATGTTAGAAAGTTGCATGCTGCTTACGATAATTTATTGTTACTAATGTTTTCATAATTATTTTGTTATGTTTGTTATTAATATTTTATCTAAACCATTTCCAGGGATGGATCATCTTCCATTTTTCTCACATCACCTGGTGGGAACATGTGCCTACCTAAACCGACGATTGGCCACGTACTGCTGCCTTTACCCTGTACAAAGGGAATAATGCAATCGAGTCATTTCAGGTGTATTTTGACCGTGATTTAGCAGATAACATTGCCTTCTTCCCATACGAAGGTCATCAACAGACACGTCATCTTAACCTCATTTCGTCATACTCTGAAGGGACGGCATGTGGATCAGGTCTGAAGTATATGTATTTGCCTGAGCGAGTGATGCACCAGTTTGGGTATCTATAGATTATTCTGAGACCTCTCTTAGAGTCTGATCATCGAAATTCTCCAGAAAGATCTTGATGCGATACTTAAGGATTTCTATAGTCACTTGGTACTATAAAGGTATTGTAAGGTACCGTCTCATGTACAATGGACTTATGCAGACAACTACATGTCATGGTTTTGTAGGGTTTCATATTTCATGACATCAGACGCTCTTGAAGCACCACCTAGGCCTTCTAATAAGGAGGAACTAAAGGATAAGGATGACCACACCTAGGATGTGAGTAACATCTATCGGCGTATTGTGGATATGGCGAGATCGGGCATAGAGGCATAACTTTTTGAGAAAGACAACCCCTAGTTGGCCCTCATAGAAAGCATTATTGTGGAGGCACGAAATGCCTTACAATACATGCGAAGATGTAACGAGGTGGGGGTGGTAGGGTGGGGGTGAGGTGGGGTTATACATACTCAGTATATTATGTTTGGTTGTATTATTTTTTGTATTTTCAGAACGTTGTGTATATTTGCTACATTTTAATTTTACTTTATTTAATTTAATTTTACTTTAATATAACTTGATTTTACTTTGATATAATTTGATTTTATTATAATAGTTTGACCTCAAAAGTTACAATGGACTTGAGATAATGTTGCTGCCTTGAAACCACTCAGGGGGTTTCGGAGATGTATCTCTGAAATGCCCATTGTGTTCAATTAACATGCTATCAATATCTTTTAAATTACTTCATGGATATTTTGGGGATGCATCTTCGAATCATATTTTTATTAAAATAGGATATGTGACTGAATTACGAAAGATTGATGTAATTTAAGGTGCGTCAGGAGATGTATCTACAGATACATAAAGATCATTTTTGAGTTTCTAGAATTGTGGAACGCACCCCGTAGGATTGAAAGAATATTTTCCATTAATTATTTCGTTAAAACGTTAAGTCTAGTTTTTGAATTCTGAAAATTTTACCTCATACCCCTAACATTATCCCTCTACCCCTACATTTTTTAAAATATTTCAATTCAACCCTTTTCACTTATCAAATAATTTTATTATTTAATATTTATTATTTTTTTGTATGTATTTTTTCTTCACTAAATAACTTACAATCAAATTTTTCGGTATGTATTTTTCTTCACTAAATAACTTTCAATCAAGTTTTTCGGTATGTATTTTTTCTTTACCAAATAACTTGCAAACAAGTTTTCCGGTATGTATTTTTTTCTTCACTAAATAACTTGCAATCAAGTTCTTCGGTATGTAATTTTTCTTCACCGGTTAAATTACATACCGGAAAAGTTGATTGCAAGTTATTTGGTGAAAAAAATATATGCCAGAAAACTTGATTGCAAATTATTTGGTAAAGAAGAAAATACATACCAGAAAATTTGATTGCAAGTTATTTGATGAAGAAAAAATACATACCAAAAAACTTGATTGCAAGTTATTTGGTGAAGAAAAAAAACATACCAAAAAATAATAAATATTAAATAATAAAATTATTTGATAAGTGAAAAAAGTAGAATTGAAATATTTTAAAAAATGTAGAGGTAGAGGGATAATGATAAGGGTATGAGGTAAAATTTGCTTGAATTCTAGTTATCAATTCTGCTAAGCCTAATTTAAGAGAATTTCTTACCCCATCCCTTGGGCTTCTTAGGTACCATGTGCGCTTCCAAAAATATCCCATGCTTCCAGAGATGTATCTCCGGACACACCTTTTTTAAGCTTTTTTAAATTAATTTTGTAGATGCATCTACGAAATATTTCCATATGCATATTTAGGGAAGAAACTCAGAAACGCAGAATCACAGAAAATCAACATTGCAACGATAAAATCAACATTCATTATTTGTATTTAAACAAAATAACGGCCATCCACCCATGGTGGCAAACATGACATGTAACCAAAAGTTGTCTAATAGTTCTAACCCGTATTAAAAAAAATAAGGCCCAACCAAAAAAGCAGAAGGCATCATAAGTTATATATTCAAAAAAGGGCATTGTGAATATCCAAACTCCCAAGTCTATCCTCGAAGCTTGTAGGACAAATCAAATTCAACAGTAAAACTTTACTTCTTTGATGTTATCCAAGATAGACGACAGCAGAGTCGACACAAAGTTAGTGGTACTCCTATTACCACTTACGGAACCAGATTCAAAATTTTCGACTTCACTTATGTAGTATCGAGCGCAGAAAGTTAGCAAGTGTGCATAATAAGCAGGAGGAACTGCATACAAGATGACATTTTAGTTAAAATAAAGTTGTATACAAGACTAAAAAAACTAATGAAATCATTACGTGTAGTATAAGTTATTAGTCAAACTCTGTAGCTGATCTGTAGTGAATTTATTTTCATCATACATCACATGATAATACGTTGGTCGACTAGTCCCCCTGCAAAAAGAAGACATCCAAATGCAAATAACACATAACTGTCAAAAGGCGATTGAGTTACAAGCTACAAGTCTGATAAAAAATAATTAAAATTAAACATAGAGAATTTAGTGGTGTATATTTTTGAACAATAAATCAACTTTGAGAAGTCCTAAATTTTGCCTACAATACAGGGCTGCAAAGTTGATGCAAGAAAAAACAGCTAGGAGTGTTTGTGTTTACTAGAGGAATTATTTTCTCAAATGCATCATTCAACACTGTGTTACGGCCTCCAGACTATATACAGTCAAGAATAACATGTTTAAAACTTGAAGAAATAAAATCAAGTAGCAAAACAAGCGGACATTTATTGAATAACTTAACCTTAACATTGATCTTTAACGCCAAATTTTCAAGATTTTGCCTATTCATCTTCACCGCTTGTCGCGGTTGACAGCATTGAGAAATTATTTCCAAGTCAGTCTCACATATACGTTTTATTCTATCTGCAAAACAAAATAATTTGATTCAACATAATACAACAAAACCTTATGATTTGATTTAGACTAGACAAAAACCTTACCATATAATTTACCCTTAAAATCAGGCAAAATTATGATCAACAATTGCAGTCTTCCCTCCAGTTTTGTCCTATCAAGTGTTGCCTTGCACTTCTTTTGAAGTTTAACAAACTCTCTTTCGATTTGATTTGGATTCGCAGGGTTCGCTTCAATTTGATTTGGATTCGCAACGTTACTTTTTCCCCAAAAGTTTGATGATTAATGTGAGCAATGTAATGCACAGAGTGCTCATGTAGGTTTTAAATATAACAGAAACTTACAGAGCTGTATCTACGGAACAATATGACGCTTAGACGTTCCGGAGGTGCATCTACGAAAGTTTTTCTGAACTGAATTATTTTGAAGTTTTTCAATGTTGAGCAGTTTAAAATTATTCCGTAAATGTAACTCCGAAAAAAAACCAAATTTTGTTTTAAAAAAATAGTGTGTCCGAATATGTATCGTCTGAAGGAGAGGCATAATAGAAAATGCGCTAAATGCCTAAAAGTATCAAAAGGTAGATTAATAAATTCTCTAATTTAATCACCCAAAACCTCCCATGAGAACCCAATTGGTACTGCAAATATAAAATATACCTGCAAATCCATTTAAAACCGACCGTTTTCCTATTTTTATAACGGTTTTTGCTTTTTTTGTTTTGTTTTCAGTTTCGTATCCACCCCTAATTAGAATGTTGAAGTAGGATTTCAAAAATTTGACAAAGGTAAGTCTTGAATATTAGGTTAAAAAGTCAAAGGGCATTAGTTTTTTTTTATTTTTAAATCAAGACACAATTTGAAAATTAAAGATAACATTAAGTTGCTTATTGTTGTATGTTTTGGACAAGTTTCAATTTCAAGTGCTTATTCCCACAAAATTTAATCATGCTCCCTTGTTCTTATATCCTGTTTCAGCATTTGAAAGCTATAAAAGTAGAGCCACATATGACTATTTTTTACTAGTACCAACTCTGTCATCATATGTTCCTTTAGCATTACAATATGATGATAAACATTCCCAACCCTTAGTTAATTTCATCAACAAATCAAAGAATCATAGTTCTTAAATTACTTTGTGTCAACACAAAACATGTCATGGACCATTCATCCAAGTATCCAACTAGCAACATACATTGATCAAACCAAACCACTACACCAGTGAGGAATCCATGAAAGCCTTCATGTTCTTCACATCTTTACTGGTTTGAGTGAACTTCTGTGGTTTGAACAGCTTCCAAAGTCCATCCGGATGCTTTCGTTTAACTTCAACCTTACCCGAAAATCTGCCATATATTTTTTCACATTCTGGATAAGGCTTAACATAAAGATTATAAAACCTAACCCTAGTTGGTTTGATAATATCCTTCAATCCAATTTCAAACCCAATTGCACCTTTTCCTTTCAAATACTCAATCACATTGTATCTAGGAACAATCTGTTTCTCAAAATTCACACCCAAATATTCAGGAACTTCATGCAAACAATCAACACTATACTTCATCCTTTGAACCAAAAACTCAATCTTCTTCTCAATATCCTCCAACTCGTAAGTCATCAACCTCGGTTCCTTCCACAATACCTTCAACGCATCCCTACGAATCAAACCGTGATCACACAAACAATCCACTCTCAGTTTCACTTCAAAACAAGCTCTAACCAAACCATCTCCAAAAATACTCTCTTTAATTACCTGCCTGCATTTCAAACTCTGCAAAAGCTTCAAACACCGCGAAAATTCCCCAATCTCCATTCCCAGAATACCCGGATCCCTAAGAACCTCCGTCTTAATCTCACGGCGAGAAAATCCTAATCCCCTCAGCTCATGAATCAGCGGCTTCAACTTATCTTCAATTCCGAATCCCAAAACCCTAGGATACAATCGAACAACCCTATCGATTTCATCTCTTGGAACACCGAACTCCACAAGAAAATCAATTACGCCAACAATTTTATTCTCAGTCATTACAACCGCGCTGGGAAATTCTTCCAAAACCCTAGCCGTAACATCGTCGGAAAACCCTAACCCCTTAAAAATCTCAACTTTTTGGGAGAGTTCAAGGGGGTTTAACTGGAACTTTCTAGAACATCGCAACAAGTTCGCGATCATCAACGGGGAAGGATTGAAATCCTTGGATTTTAATTGAGGAAAAGCTAATTCCCAATGATGTAGAAATTGGGGTTCTAAGACAGAAGGGCAATCGTGAACGAGGGAAATTAGGGTTTTCTGTGGAATTTTGAAGGAAAAGAGAGTGGAGAGTGATTTGCGAAGGTGTGATAGATCGGAGTTGAAAAGGAAGTGGGTGTGGGAGAGGAAATGGTGAAGGTTGGAAGAGGGAAAACCGAAGGATTGGAAGAGATTAGCGAGTGAAATTTGTTTTCTGTAATGAGAAGTGTGATGATGAGAAATGGTGGAGAAATTAGTTGAAAAAGTGCTTATGAGAATAAGCACGTTTCTTCTTCTAACTGCCATTAGAGGATCCTAGCTAAGAACCTGCAGATGAATAAAAGTTGCCATTTTTTAAGAACACACGTGAACAATCCAAAATAATGAATTGCAATTTTCTCTTTCTCTCAAAAACAATGAGTGAGGAATATGATGGTGATTCAATCATATAAAAAAAATTTAAAAAAATAAAAAATAAAAAATATAAAAAAATAAAAAATCCTACTTTCACAAATCTAGAAAATCTTGATTCTTCTTTTTTAACACTCAAAATAGCAAATCATATTCGGTTAGATTGAGGTAAACCTATTTAAGAGTTGTGTGAGTATCTTCAAAATAGTAAGTCATCTTAATTTTATTTTTGTGATATTTAACTCTAAAGATTGAGTATGATTGAGTGCGAATGGTAGATACAAAATACATTAGAGATATAAGGTTTTTATTTGTGAAGTTTTTTGTGTGTATCATATTGAGATTTTGATATTGTGATTACAGGACTTAGAGAACGATTTATAGCAAGAAAACATTATTTTGTGTTTCATTAGACTTTGTTAGTACTAAGTGAAGGTAGTTGCAAAACGAAGTTGAGATTTTCCAAGATTCTTGAGTAGAACAAAGACTCATACATGAAACAATAAGAGTCGAATGAAGAATGTTGTTGAATAGAAGCTTGGAATAGAACTTTTGGTCTATCAAGACATTTTCCTCAAGACCAAGTGAAGATCTTATGAATTCGGTAGTTTTGAGTGTTCTGCTACAACATAATAGAAATTCAAATTTAAACATGTGTTGTCTTAAACATTAATTGGCTTGAAGTGTTTAGTGTTGTATTGGTCATACGTTGTAACAAAAACTTTGTAGATGAATTTGAAATGCCAATTTTTTGTTTGTTGGAATTCAACCACAACCTATGGAGAATTTCATTCAATCTTGATCTCAAGATTTTTATCAATCACGCAATGACAATGAAAAGAAAAGGTTGAGAAAGAGAGAAAATAACGTTGGAGAAGAAGATGAATATTCTGCAGAGTTTCTCTCTGCCCACAAATTGCGGAAAAATCTCTTATTCACTTGCAACTGCAAACTGTGAATATAATGTTATGACTTGAATTGTTTACAAAATAAGGGTTTTTCCTATTTATAAATTTATGTTAGCTTGCACCCCAAGGAAAAGTCCAAAATAGCTAACATTACTAAAATAGGCCTGAGTAAAAATCTTGTGTGAAGCAACCTGCTTCGACACACTAATACAACTCGACACACACACATTAGGCTAATTCGACTAGATCTTGTTTCTGTCGAGCTACACTGCTTCGACACAAGGAATTACAAACTTAACACACCACCTAATTCATTGTGTCTAAGCTATCTACATTCATCATAGACCTTAACTTCTTGAACACATCGACTTGAACTCCTTTCGACATGATATCTGCAATATGATTCTCAGTTTTACAGTATTCCAAATTCATCTTCATTTCTGCTACATGTTCTCGAAGATAATGGAACCTCATTTCGATATGCTTGCTTCGACCATATGCTATTGGATTCTTCTGGTTGATAGTTGACATGCTGTCAATCTTCATGATAATTGCTTCATGACTCTTCATTGTAATCTCTTCGACCAGGTTCACCATCCATGTTGCTTGACATGCACAAAGAGAAACAAATATGTATTCTGCTTCGCATGATGATAATGCCACTATTGGCTCCTTTCTCGAACTCCAAGCAACTGATGCACCACCTAACATAAACACATATCCAACTGTGGATTTTCGATCCTCAACATCACTATACCAACTTGATTCAGTGTATCCCACTAGATTACATTATTTTCCTTCATCAGTTGTAGGAAACAAAATACCATAGTTGAGAGTTCCTTTCAGATACCTTAGTATCCTCTTCGTCGTTGTTGGGTGTGATACTTTTGGCTTCTGTATGAATCTACTTATCATACCCATACTATATGCTAAGTTAGGTCTTGTGTGACAAATGTATCGAAGTGACCCAATAAGTCTTCTATATTGGGTTGGGTCAACATCATCTTCATCTGAGTCTTTGGACAGTTGCAATCTGGTCTCAGCTGGAGTCGAAGTTAGATTGCAATCTTGCATCTCAAATATCTTGAGCATTTCGCCTGCGTATCTTCTTTAGTGCATCATCAAACCTCTACCACTCTTGTAGAATTCAATGCCAAGGAAATATGAGAGATTTTCTAAGTCTGACATTTCAAACTCCTCACTTAGGTCATGTTTAAAATCTTCGATCTTCTTCTTACAACTTCCTGTTATCAACAGGTCATCGATATAGAGACATAGTATAAGCAATTCATTATTACTTCTCCTTACATATACTTCATGCTCAGTTATGCACTTCACAAATTCCTTCTCCCTTAGAAAATTGTTGATCTTCTTATTCCAAGCTCTTGGAGCTTGCTTAAGTCCATACAAGGTTATATGCAGCATGTACACCTTTCTTTCTTCGCCTTATTTCACAAACCCAGTTGGTTGTACAACATAAACTTCTTCGTCTAAGGGGTCATTCAGGACACATTTCTCATTCATCTGACATGTGTACCAATTGTTTATGGTTTTTAGACCAACAACCAACCTGATTGTTTCAATCCTAGAAACAGGTGCAAAAACTTTGTCGAAGTCGATTCCTTCCTTCTGAAGAAATCCTTTCACCATAAGTCTTGTCTTGTGTCGATTTACCTCTCCTTTAGGATTCACTTTCACCTTGTAAATCCATTTCACATCAATTGCCTTCTTGCCTTGAGGAAATTCGACAAGTGACCAGGTGTTGTTGACTTCGACGGACTCTAACTCCTCATTCATTGCTTTCACCCACTTCGAATCTTTCAATGCCTCAGCTGCATTGACTGGTTCAACATCTGCGTAGAAAGCATAGTGTACCAACTCCCCTTCTTCATTGACCACATCATCTAATGTAATCACACATTTTTATGACCTTGCAGGCTTATGTCTTGTTCGTCGAGGTCTGCTTGGGCCTGCTTCACCTCTGACTTCTTCTTGTCGAACTTCTTTTTCAAATTCACTAGCTGGTTTTTCACATAAGGTTCTCACTGAATCTTTCGTAACATTCTCATTCCAATCTCATTCCTTAATCTCATCTATGATCACGTCCCTGCTGATTGCAACTTGTTTGTTCACTGGGTCGAACAATTTGTATCATCCTATTAGGATCATTTGAATCGACTTGTCATCAAGCTTTCTTCTCAACTGACCTGACACATGTCTATGTGCTATAGATCCAAACACCTTCAAGTGACTTAGGTTAGGCTTGACACCAGATTAACATTCTTCTGACGTGATCCCTTCGAGCTTCTTCATTGAACATCTATTCAAGATGCATGTCGTTGTCGACATAGCTTCTCCCCACAACTCTTTGGGTAGATGCTTGACTTTCAACATACTTCTCACCATGTACATGATGGTTCTATTCTTCCTTTCTTCAAGTCCATTTTGATGTGAAGTGTAGGGTGGAACCACCTCATACACAATCCATTATTTCTCACATAATGCATTGAACTCTTTCAATACATACTCTCTACCACCATCAGTTCTAAGAATCTTTAGCTTTCGACCACTTTGTCTTTCGACCATAGATTTGAATTCGAAAAATACCTCGATCACTTCACTTTCTTCTTGATCGGGTAAGTCTATAGTTTTCAGCTGAAATCATCTATGAACGTGACAAAATATCTGTTACCTCCAATCTAATCCACCTAGATAGAACCATATACATTAGAGTATATGACTTCGAGAATTGCCTTCGACTTACTTCCTGCATCCTTGCTGAAGTTATTCTTGTGTTGTTTCGCCTGAACACATTCTTCACACACTTCACTTGGAATGTAGATATCTGGTAATTCTGAAACCATATTTCTTCTCTTCAAATCTCTGATGTCTTTGAAGTTGAGATGGAAAATTCGATAATGCCATATCCATTCATCTCCATTAGCTGCAATTGCAAGATACTTATGCTTCATCACATTAAGTTCAATCTTGAAGGTCTTATTCTGAGACATTGGAGCCTTCAAGATTAACCTACTACCTTCGTCGAGAACTCTCATCATCTTGTCTTTGATTGACACCTTGTAGTTCTTTTCGACCAGTTGTCCTATACTGAGCAAATTACTCTTCATGTCTGGTGTGTACAACGCATTGGAAATTACTGACCTCTTGTCATCTTTCCTCATAATTAAAACATCACCAATATCTTCACCTGCTAGAGTATTGTCATTTACAAATTTCACCATGTTCTTCGTCAAAAGCTTTATGTTGACAAACCATCTTTCCTCCCAGTCATGTGTGATGAGCATCCTGAGTCCAAGTACCATTGATCCTAGAATCTTTCTTCATCTCTTGTTGTGACCATCAGCAACATCTCTTCTTCTTCATGTTTCTCCAATTTTGCATCAGTTTCTCGATTCTTCTTCTTTTCTCGACACTCACTAAAATAGTGACCATACTTCTGACAATTAAAATACTGAATATGATTTTTGTCAGGCTTTCGACCACCACCTCTTCCTCTACCTGCAGCACTACCTCCTTGGTTGCCTTGGTTCCAGATTTTTCTCTGATTCGACCAGTTTCGTTCCTGCTGATTTCAAACAGTCGAATTGTTGTAGCATCTTCTACCTTTGTTTCCATTTCAGCTTCCTTTGCCTTTCTTTTCCTTTTCTGATTGCGCCTGCAAAGTCATATCACTCTTTGATTTTCCTACAGCTCTTTCATTCATCCTTTGTTCATGAGACTCAAGCATCCCTTGAATCTCTTCCTTCGTCAATACTGACAAGTCTTTCGACTATTCTATGGCTATTACCATGTGGTCGAACTTTGGAGTCAATGACCTTAAGATTTTTGCAACAACTGATCTTTATGTCAACACTTCTCCACATACCTTGATTTGATTCACCAGCTTTGTAACTCTAGTGAAGAAATCTGTTATACTTTCACTTCTTTCCATCTGAAGCAATTCATAGGTTCTCTTATGAGTTTGTA